GTCAATTGCCAGCAAGAGTTACAGTTACAAGATCTGCCTGAAGATGCCAAGGTTTCCCTCGCTTTAGATTGTTGGACCAGTCCATTTCAGCAGGCATTCATGGCAATCACGGTTTATTTCATCGACAAAGATTGGAACTATAGGGAAATGCTCCTCGGCTTTGAGCCGTTGCACGGTCCTCATACAGGAAACAACCTTAGTGATGTTTTGCACCGGTTACTGGAGGAACGAAAACTTCTCGATCGTATTTTTAGCGTTACTACAGATAACGCTACCAACAACGACACCATGATACGCGCCTTGCAAGAGAGACTGCTCTCTATTGGAGCTATTAGCTCCAGGGAATCAATAGTCCGGGTTCCCTGCATGGCTCATGTGATCCAGCTTTGCCTGAAACAGCTACTGGGACATATCAGGGCAGCACCTAAGAATAAAGAAGTCAGAGCCTTTTGGTCCGACACCCAAGCGCACGGGTTGAAGGATTCGATCAATTATGGAGACGTGGCTCATACACTGACAAAGGTGAGCCAAGATATTCACCTTTTCAATATACTCAGAGCACTGACAGCATTAGATTCGATCCTTTGCGATCTTTGTCAACGCAAGCCCACAACGGCGTGATGCTTTTTTATGCCTCCAATCAGGTGGTACTCGGCTTTTTCCGTTACATGACGTTCAGACACGCTGGAATTCAACTTTTTTGATGCTTCGCCGAGCACGCCGGCTGAGAAATGTAATCGACAAATACTGCTGCGATCATGAATACTCGCAGCTCAAGGTTACCGACGTTGAATGGAGGCAAATTGACTACCTCGTTCATTTGACCAAACCGTTTTTTCAGTTCACCATGGCTCTGATGAAGACCAGAGACGTCACAATCCATAGTGTGTTCCTTGTGTATAGGAAACTACTGGAGCATATCGAACGGTCGAATCGAAGATTGAAGAGAAAGACAACACCCTGGAAGAAAGACATGTATGGCGCGTTGCTTGTGGCGAGGCAGAAGCTGAAAGAGTACTACGAAAAAACCTACCGCGACCACGGTTTTCTCTATGGCACTGGAACATTACTTGCCCCTCAGTATAAACTGAGTGCTTTTGATGATCGAGAGTACTCAACTTGCCATGAAGATACGTCAAAAAGGTACTGTGAATATTTGAGAGCATCTTTCACACAGTATCAGCAGCAGAACCCCGAGTTGCTATTCCGTACAGTCCAGCGATCTTCCAATTCGCATAGCACAGAGCTTGATCGGCTACTCGAGCCACCTGGTGCATCGATTTTCCATGAAGGAGTAGAGTATGACGAAGTGGACCAGTATCTTCGCGAAGGCACGAGCAATCAGTACAACACACTGGAACAACTGACTGACCTTGAATAGCCAATGTCCCTGTGTCGCCGCGACTTTATTGGAAAGAACACGAGCGCGAATTCCCAGTGCTGTCTCGGCTCGCACGAGACTTGCTTTCGGTCCCTGCCACCGGCGCGGGTGTAGAAAGGCTCTTCAATAGCGCACGAGACATTTGTCATTATCGCCGAGGGTCTCTTCACGAAGGGACCATTCAAGACTTGATGATGTACATGTGCTCAGAAAAGCTCACACTAGAGGGACAGCAATTGATTCGTCTGGAGAAACCGTTGGAGAGCGAGAGCCAAGAGGCACTTGAAGAGGATGAAGCGTTGAAGGCAATCGAAGAGGATGCAGAGCCGATCAGCGACAATGAGGAGATTGAAGAGAGCGAGAATCTCGAGGGTAACTCTGAGCCAGAGGAGACATACCAAGTGGAGTGTACGGTGGTAGAGACCGGCCGGAGCTCTATACACAGACATATTCACGAACCTGAACAAGAAGAAGAGAGTATGGAGGAAGACGTGGTTGATTACGACGAAGCAGATTTACTTCCGCCTCCAATCATGCAATTGAGTGATAGAAGCCAGAAGAGATCTTCTGGTCGGGTAACAATGCCCTCCAGCAGACTGCGAGGTTACGAGGTATACTAGTCTTTATAATTAGCCAATTTGATTTTTTCAAGCCCTTCATGTTCCTTTCCAAATATTCACAGCCAGAAGCTAGTAGTTACGCCATCGAAACAATTAGATAATCGAAAATTACTGCATAACTTAGTGTAAAATGATCAGTCAGCTTTGTTTGCTTTTTTGGGTAATCGCGGGTACCCATTTGGGTCTTGGGTTGGGTTTCCCGGATGACAACCCGCCCACGGGTTTGCTGACTAAGACCCAACCCGGCCCATGGGCTGGGTTTTCGCGGGCGGGTTTGGGCGGTGGGCGGGTTTTGGCGAGGCCTACCAGCAGCTATATTATAGCCAGGGAGACTCGGATGAGTGCGACAGGGATGAGACATTTGCGAATATCAATCTTACGTGTTCTTCTACCCAGGCCATGAAAGTCTTCTGAGTTCCCTCCCCTAGGGTATCGACCAAGAAGTAGAGTTGCTAACTATAGACAAAGCCTGCCAATGGCCCCGCGAGGCTCAAACGATGCTAAACCCGCGAGAAGGCAAACTGCGTCTTTGCCAGAGGCTATTATAGCTTCACCGTTGGAGTGTCGAAAATAGTTTCCAAGAAGTACACGAGGGATGAATGAAAGCGCGGGAACTCTTTGAATTGTGGAATATAGTGGATTCCCGTGAATTCGAACAGCCTGGCATCCTGGAATCGATCGGCCAAGCTCCGAGTCTGGGCAGGTAGCACCACTGGGTCGTCGCTTCCGATAGCGAGCAGAGCGGGCGTCACGATATATGGGGTGTAGATCTGCTGGTACAGAGGTCCCAGTGTGAACCCGCTCAGACAGACGGAAAATTTGAAACTGGGATGTTGTGCCTACAGAGCATGGATGGTTAATGAGTTCAGTTGTTCTCTGGCAAATGAAGTCAAGAGTCGTTCACCTTCCAAGAGGGGTCATGGAGAGTCTGCCTTTTCTCCAGTATAGATGTAATAACTGCTGCCATAGCAGCGCCTGACGAAAATCCAACGATCCCCGCGAATGGACCATCTCGATCGAGTGTTTTGAGGATGTGTTCAATTGACAAGTCTATCCCGTTAATCCGACCCTCACTAGGATCTCCATATCCCCAGACCCATCGGTCGTTTGCTTCGTCCCGATCGGGGTCGGCCGGCAGTATGCCCGACAGGTATTGGAATTCAAACATGATGTCTCTGTCACTGGCAAACTTGTGGAATGCCTTTCGAATATACCTGGTTTTGGGCTGGAAAATCTGTGCCGATTGCTCATGTCCTGGAAAATCTTCTCAATAGAACATCGTGGGAGAAGGCGCCATGTACTGACCATGTAGCATGAGTACTTTCAGAATCGTGTCAGGCATGCTATCCACTGGTACTTGTGACTATAGCGCAGGTATAGTGGATGAGGACGGCTGCGTAGAAGTGACCAGACAAAGGCTTCTTATAGCTCTACTCCTGAAAGGCCCTCACCGCATGATACGGATTCATGAGGCCAACTCCACATGGGCATGGAAGCCACCCGGCGCCTAGGCGTGTCAGTATAACTAGAGATCCCCCAACGGACAAACAATCACGTAAAGTGTAGATTTGTTGTGTCCATGGCTGCCAGGTTGGTCAGGCTGCCCGCAGAGAAATCAATCTTTCTATCTCGTTTTCTTCTCAGGTCTGCAACAGTATCTAAATTACATGATTATATGTTCCTTTTATCGTGTTCTGGAGATGGAAAGGAAGAGAAGAAGACGAGAGAGAGGTCAAACAAAGCAAGGAATTGGGGTTACCTGGCGAGGTTTTCAACGTATTGGTTCATGGGTCTCAAGAATCACTAAAGTACTTCTCCCATAGGGACCAACAGAAAACCGCAGAATCCCATTCAAAATTTTCTATGCGTATTTGTACAGTCGTAGGCGAAATCAGCTTCCACCCTAATCGTTGCGTTTCTTATTTCGGGCGCCACTAGCAAGGCGCTAGTGCGATATTTTTAGTCGACTAACTACATTATAACAATTGCCGCTAGAGGCATGGTCTAATAATGAATTAAAAGACAATTACCATCTGGAATTGTCGAAGCCAAATGAAAGTATCCTCCCCCGTGCTCTGGGCGCTGTTAAGTAATTGAATGCTGCTTGTGACTTTCACTAGTGCTGTTTTATGTTCAGTATCTACTGTCGTCAACTTTTTGCGTGCAGGAACCGTCGAAAGCACCACCAAAGAATGGAATACAATCTATCATGGAACAAACCAGTTTTTCAGATTACTATATACGGGATTTCCACTTCTTTTTCAGGGTTGTGTCTGTGGGAATTCGCTATCGGCCTTGTCTCGATGGCTGGCTAAGTCGCGGATTTACGAGACTCTCAAGATTGAAGGTAATGGCGCTAACACTCAGTGTAGGAATGGTGGTCGATCATCTCCCTAGAAAAATATGGAGTTTTGAAGACAGACAGCATCGAGCAGCTTCATCGATCTGAGAGCGTGTGGCTCAACGTCTTGAATTATGTCATGAATTAGCTGATGCTGTCACGGTTCAAGGGCTAGGCGCCACACTAAACTGCCATACGCATGCAATCGCCGTGCCACTCCTTCCATGTCTAATCTTGAGCGTCACCTAATGTTGAACATTGCATTGTGGCCCCAAGACTTGGCGCCTCAAAGGTGCATCTCATCCTTAGAATAGTAGACAGCCAACCGATGTTCAGACAGTTGGGGGCCTATAGCCTGGACCTAGGGAAAGTATTCTATTTGATGGCTGGCTTGCTCGTCGTTCGAGATCTGGCTAGAAAAACATAGAACGCATTTCAATTGAAAAGATTGGACCTATGTGGGAGTTGAAAGAAGTAATACGGAGCGGGGGCGAGGAGCCTTCATGCACCAGCAGACATATCTATCGCAATCATGTCAGACCGTAAAGCATCGAGTAGAACAGATACAAGCAGTGAGATAAATGGTAGGGAGTTTGAGGGAGCAGTAACAGGAGGCTGAGACGATGGAATGGAGAGAAGTGAGCAAGGGAAGGATTATTTACTGACTTGTCCACTCCAGCCCATCTTGGGGACCTTGGTTCATCGGAAGCCTCGCTACCGCCTCGTGGTCATTCGCCGAGGACCATTGAAGCGGTGTTTGTCCATCCTTGTCGCTGGCGTTGATGTCGGCTCCCTTGTAAATGAGAAGCCTCGCTACCGACTCGTGGCCATTCGCTGAGGACCGTTGAAGCGGTGTCCAACCAAAAGCGTCGGTGGCGTTGACGTCGGCTCCCTTCTCGATGAGAAGCCTTGATACTGCCTCGTGGCCATTCGCTGAGGACCGTTGAAGCGGTGTCCAACCAAAAGCGTCGGTGGCGTTGACGTCGGCTCCCTTCTCGATGAGAAGCCTTGATACTGCCTCGTGGCCATTCGCTGAAGACCATTGAAGCGGTGTTTGTCTATCCTTGTCGCTGGCGCTGACGTCAGCTCCCTTATCAACGAGAAGCGCTGCTACTGCCTCGTGGCCATTCCCCGAGGACCATTGAAGCGGTGTTTGTCCATCTTTGTCGCTGGTTTTGATGTCAGCTCCCTTGTCAATGAGAAGCCTCACTACCGACTCGTGGCCATTCGCTGAGGACCGTTGAAGCGGTGTCCAACCAAAAGCGTCGGTGGCGTTGACGTCGGCTCCCTTCTCGATGAGAAGCCTTGCTACTGCCTTGTTGCCATTTGCTGAAGACCATTGAAGCGGTGTTTGTCTATCCTTGTCGCTGGCGTTGACGTCAGCTCCCTTATCAACGAGAAGTGCCGCTACTGCCTTGTGGCCATTCGCCAAGGAGCATTGAAGCGGTGTCCAACCAAAATCGTCGGTGCCGTTGACTTCGGCTCCCTTATCGATAAGAAGGCTTGCTACCGCTTCGTGGCCATTCATTGAGGACCGTTGAAGTGATGTCCGTCCATCCTTGTCGCTGGCGTTGATTTCGGCTCCCTTGTCAACAAGAAGCCCCGCTATTGCCTCGTAGCCATTCGCCGAGGCCCATTGAAGTGGTGTTTGTCCAAATTTGTCGCTGGTGTTGACGTCGGCTTCCTTGTGAATAAGACGCATCGCTATTGCCTCGCGGCCATTCGATAAGGACCGTTGAAGTGGTGTCCATCCATCCTTGTCGTTAGCGTCGACGTCAGCTCCCTTTTCAATAAGAAGCCTCGCTACTGCCTCGTGGCCATTCGCTGAGGCCCGTAGAAGCGGTGTCCGTCCATCCTTGTCGCTGGCGTTGATGTCGGCTCCCTTGTTAATAAGAAGCCTTGCTACTGCCTCATGGCCACTCGCCGAAGACCGTTGAAGTGGTGTCCGTCCATCCTTGTCGCTGGCGTTGATGTCGGCTCCCTTGTTAATAAGAAGCCTTGCTACCGCCTCATGGCCATTCGCTGAGGCCCGTAGAAGCGGTGTCCAACCAAAATCGTCGGTGCCGTTGACGTCAGCTCCCTTGTCAATGAGAAGCCCCGCTACTACCTCGTGGCCATTTGCCAAGGAGCATCGAAGCGGTGTCCAACCAAAATCGTCGGTGCCGTTGACGTCGGCTCCCTTATCGATGAGAACCGCCGCTACCGACTCGTGGCCATTCGCTGAGGACCGTTGAAGCGGTGTCCATCCATCCTTGTCGCTGGCGTTGATGTCGGCTCCCTTATCGATGAGAAGCGCCGCCATTGCCTTATAGCCATTCATTGAGGCCCGCTGAAGCGGTGTTCGTCCATCCTTGTCGCTGGCGTTGATGTCGGCTCCCTTATCGATGAGAAGCGCCGCCATTGCCTTATAGCCATTCATTGAGGCCCGCTGAAGCGGTGTTTGTCCATCCTTGTCGCTGGCGTTGATGTCGGCTCCCTTGTCAATAAGAAGCCTCGCTACCGCCTCGCGGCCATTCATTGAGGCCCATTGAAGCGGTGTTTGTCCATCCTTGTCGCTGGCGTTGATGTCGGCTCCCTTGTCAATAAGAAGCCTCGCTACCGCCTCCTGGCCATTCGCTGAGGCCCGTAGAAGCGGTGTCCATCCATAATTGTCGCCAGTGTTAACATCGGCTCCCTTGTCAATGAGAAGCCTTGCTACTGCCTCATGGCCACTCGCCGAAGACCATTCAAGCGGTGTTTGTCTATCCTTGTCGCTGGCGTTGACGTCAGCTCCCTTTTCAATAAGAAGCCTCGCTACCGCCTCCTGGCCATTCGCTGAGGCCCGTAGAAGCGGTGTCCATCCATGTTTATCGCCAGTGTTAACATCGGCTCCCTTGTCAATGAGAAGCGCCGCTACCGCCTCGTGGCCATTCGCTGAGGACCGTTGAAGTGGTGTCCGTCCATCCTTGTCGCTGGCGTTAATGTCGGCTCCCTTGTCAACAAGAAACCTTGCTACTGCCTCGTGGCCAATCGCCGAAGACCATTGAAGCGGTGTCCGTCTATCCTTGTCGCTGGCATTAACGTCAGCTCCCTTATCAACGAGAAGCGCCGCTACTGCCTCGTGGCCATTCGATAAGGACCGTTGAAGTGGTGTTTGTCCATCCTTGTCGCTGGCGTTGACGTCAGCTCCCTTGTCAATAAGAAGCCTCGCTACCGCCTCCTGGCCATTCGCTGAGGCCCGTAGAAGCGGTGTCCATCCATGTTTATCGCCAGTGTTAACATCGGCTCCCTTGTCAATGAGAAGCGCCGCTACCGCCTCGTGGCCATTCGCTGAAGACCATTGAAGCGGTGTTTGTCTATCCTTGTCGCTGGCGTTGACGTCAGCTCCCTTATAAACGAGAAGCGCTGCTACTGCCTCGTGGCCATTCGATAAGGACCGTTGAAGCGGTGTCCGTCCATCCTTGTCGCTGGCGTTGATGTCGGCTCCCTTGTCAATAAGAAGCGCCGCTATTGCCTTGAAGCCATTCATTGAGCCCCGTTGAAGTGGTGTTTGTCCATCCTTGTCGCTGGCGTTGACGTCAGCTCCCTTTTCAATAAGAAGCCTCGCTACCGCCTCGTGACCATTCGCCGAGGCCCGTAGAAGTGGTGTTTGCCCCCCGCTATCCATGTCATGAACAGACGATCCACTCTGTAGGAGTAGCTTGACAATTTCTGCCCGACCATCCTGGGCGGCCCAAGATAGCGGTGTTCGACTTTTGTACCCCTTGAAGTCTTTTTTGTGATTCAAGCCCTCCGTAATGTCGGCTCCATTTTGAATGTATGAAACTGAGTTCAGAAGAGCAGCCACGGTGTTTTTGCTCCCATTAGCCAACGCGGCAAATATTGGGTACTTGTATCTCTCCCCAATGACCTGGAGTTGCGGATCTTCTTTGGGTCTTAAGCGAATAAGCTCAGAACACCCTCTATCTGCCAGGACGTAAGATAGACTTGCATGCTTGCTGTATTTGTGGGACTTGAACTTTTCAAAAACATTGTTTGTCTGAACCCAGTTAGAGATGGGAAAAGAGGAAAGAAACTCGTCTTGAGGGAGAACATGCGCCGCAGCATTCGCATGGTAAAGAACATGCTGAATCGCATACCCCAAAAACGGGTAGTTCTTTGAGATTTCCCTCCGTCCGTCGGAGTGAGTCTCCGGCAACAGCTTGGTGACAGATTCACATATCAATTTGTGATTAGTATAGACGCTGCAGCATTGTTTCAGTTTCTCATGGCCTACGCCCTCGCAGTTGAATCCAAGCTCAGGCCACAATTCATATAGACCTTTGTCCTTGATAAGAAAGTCTCGAACAGATTCATGGATGAATTGAACCGTCGGCTGGCTAGATTTTGTGGTCTCGGCAAGTCCCTTTGAGGAACTAATCACATATCTGTTGACACTGTCAAGGCCAACACCAGTACCGAAGACGGTGATATCTGGGATTTGGCTATCGACTAATCTGTTCAGAGACAACCCGGACCAGAGAGCATGATAAAATTCCTGCGGTCGCAGAGGTTCCTTTGCGAACAGAATCCAGAGGATGCAAAGCAGGAGAGCCTCCATATTTTCATTGTCACGCCTCAAGATATCCTTGAACAGGTCGCTCAGATCACTAGGTATTTCCGCGAGTCTCTTTCTCAGAGCCATTCCTCCCCGTCGGTACTCCTTGTTCAGAATACCGACAACCAAAACGATCCACATAAAAACACCAGCAGCTTTACCGAGAAGTTGTGGTTGCAGCTCTTCAACAAGCGTTGGTTCTTTGATCAGGAGGCGGTCTGTGACGTAGGTTGCCAAGTCTTCCGCATGACCTGACTGATCCTCCAGTGTAAGTCGGAGACCCCGTTGTATGAAGATGTATGGATAGTGTCGACTCGAAAAGCAGGTTCGGAATTGGACGCCTTTGCCTGTTGATTTTTCAGCCAGGTCTTCAAAGTACTGCACCATGTCCACAACTTGTTGTTCATCACACTCATCAAGAGCGTCAACGAAGCAGGTAAACGAGCGTTGTCCGAGCGTGCAAACTGCATTGGAAAATAGGTCCTTCAAAACATTCAAGGAAGGGCAATCATTTTGGCCTCGGGGAACCAGGTCGGAATCGTCTCAAACAACCTGGAGGACAGGGTAGCCTTCTAGTAGTTGAAGTAGCAATGATCGGTACATCCCTGTGATAGATTTTTCCAAGTAATCCCCTCGAGCGTTGAAGAAAAAGGAAGCTGTGATGGCATGCTTTGGACGGGCCTTGCCCTTCATGTTGGAGTATGCAAATTTCATGATTGTCGACTTTCCAGCCCCGGGCTTACCACTGATCCACAGAAAGCCATGATGTTGCGTCAATCTGGCAGGATCAAGCCATGCTTCGTAATACGGATGATTGAGAAACCAGCGACACGTCTTTTTCTGTTCTTCTTTGATGGTCGTTCTCCGGGAATCCATTTGCTCGAACTTGAAAGAATTTAACAAGCGCTGCCGGTCTTCGTGCGATAAACACTGATCTATAAGTGTGGTGTGAACAGTGGTGAGTCAAGAATGTTCCTAAGGCTGGGATGCATTCTTACAAGAATCGGTCGTGGAGACAATACTTTTAGGTGATTCGGTCACGGGTAACTCCTCAAGCAATTGTCTTGCGTATGCGGCCGCGGTTGCTGCTGCATATCTCTGCCATTGTTTGCTTTTGTGAGAGTCTGAATAGTCGCAAATTCCCCGAATTGGAAGACACGGGAGGACATCCATCAGACCAGCACTTTCCATCTCAAAACATATGACATCTAGCTGTCGAGCAATGCCGTCCCGTGTTGTGCCGTCCCTCATGACTTGGTTCCCCGAGGCAATTGCGCCATAATGGATTCTTACGTCGTCCAACATCCGTCTGCTTCTTGGGACTAGCTTTGAGTGGTCGCACCCGTCACAGCTACCGGTTAGAGATTCATGATCATAGGTCGCATGGAACAGAAGATCCGGTGAATTCGGGCGAGAGTACGAGGGTTGTTCTTCTAGTTTCTGTTGTAAGATAGATATGACCCGGTTGGGGCCGAGTTCGTGTTTCGAACGGAGTGTAGACACAGCCGTACCAAGCAACTGATGAGGAATTCTAGGAATTGCCGTTCGCTGGAGCTGTCCGTCTGCAAGGATTTTCCCAAGATCACACTGCATAACCCTTGTTCCGACGACAATATCACCCAAACGCACATCAGCCTTGCTTGGCACCCCACCGCCAATCCCAACCATTAAACATGCGCGAATCGCTGGAAAAGTCCGCTTCATGTTCGTCATGACGATCGCGGCGTTGTTTGTTCCATACTGCCCTTCTGGTAAACACGCAATGACGACATTGTGTCGATTGATGGTTCCTAGTACATAGGTATTCCTGTCGTCCGCATGGGTAGGAAGAGCTTCATGAAACTCATCCAGCATGGCCTGTGCTGCTGCCATCTCTATGTACAGCGCGCAGATCCATGCGACAGTGTACTGATTGTGTCGTGGGGTAGGCAAACCCTCATGGTGGAAAGTCTTTGGTCGCTTAGACAGATGGTGTTCTATCGTGATTGTGCCATGGTTATTACCTATTTGAAACCCATCATTGACTCCATAATAAGATGTGGATGCCATAGTTAGGATAGCATATATTGTCCGTCGCTTTGGCGGAGTGTGTTTTCTGACTCTCAGCTGAACGAGGGGCTAGGTGCTCTGATTCATCATCAGGTGACTTCATGGCGCTTACTTAAACACGCAGTCAGAACGTGCGAGCATTTCCTTGGCCTTGGACCGTAAGCTTTCCAGGCCCAGATAATTTTTCTTTGAGACGCTCTCTGAGTGCCATGTCACAATGCGTCTAGTCTAGTCCTGCAAAATGAGGCTAGTTGGTAAAATCGTGTGATCAGGGGGTTAAAGCGAGTTAAGTGGACGAAGATTCTTGCCAGATTAGGATTCACCGTTAACTTAATCTAGGGAGGAGTTTTATTGGGGTTGCCTCACGTGATGCCCGCACAGAGCCCACAGGCCTACGGAGGGGTTCTCCCCTCCTGCAACTGCCTCACGGGAGTCAATTGCTCGCCTCTGCTGGTAGCTCGTCATCTCTCACGCAGTCAAGACTCGTTTTGTTTTCACGTCCTTTCTCTGCGGCAATAACACCGATAAGCCTTGACCATATCGCTCTCCACCATGACGTTCAGCCAGTCTAGCAGTGTCACGCCTGCCCCACTTGACTCCGCTTGGCCCCCGGCCCACATTTGGGAAACCATGGGCGCGGCGGACCGCGCCAGTTGGCTAGGACAGATACAGAGAGACAGGGCCAGGCGCCTCGAAATGGATGTAGCGGAGACAGACCTCCGCCACAGAAGGCCTCGTGTGGACCTGCAAGGTGACGAGAATTTCGAGGAAAACCGTGAGCCACCCCCTGAAGTCAAACCACTCATCGACATATTTCCGGGTGTCTCCGCCGCCCTTCTTACTCGCGTTTTCGAGAGGAAGTTGAAGGCGACTGAACTCATACGCTTCAAAGAGAAGTCAGTCACCGAGCAAGATCATGAGGACAGGGTCTTCAAGATGACCGAGTCCGGAGGCACAGTAGGCTTCAGGAAAGCAGCGGCATCGCTTAAGGATTGGGGCCCCAACCCTCAAACATGGACGAGCTGCTTCCTTACATACCTAGCCGTCATAGGACATCTCTTCGGCGAGAAACATCCAAAGGCAGTTCCCAACCTACTTATGTTCATGAGGCAGATCCTAGATCTCGCTCAAACATATCAGTGGTCAGAGGCAGTACTGCCGCTCGCCCTTAACTTCCACCAATACATTCTGGATAAAGGAGAGCTATCGACGGAGAACAACCTCGTCACAGCCCCATTTCGCGAAAAGTATCTCCGTCACAATCTTACTTTGCCTGCGAACTCACCGGCAAAACCTTCAGCCAGACCTCACCAAACAAGGTCTACTAGGTCTTCAAATAATGAAACCGAGGTGTGCGATAAGTTCAACACCACAGGATGTCTCTGGGAAGGCTCCAAGAGACGTCATGAGTGCACAGCATGCGGTCTAAGCCAGCATGGCGCATCCTCTTGCCGTAAGAAGACATAGCAAGTGGACCCTACCGTTAGGGAACACCCTGCAGAGACCGATAAAAGCTCCAACCCCTTATCACCAAGCCTAATACCGCAGGGCCAACCGCCCAGGCCGAATACTGCTATCCAATACCCCGTTTTCAACCCGGAGCTCCCAAAGCTACAGTTCTCTTCGTCACCACTATATGCAAAAGGCTGGAGCAACCTCCCACGCTACTATCCAGGCGATCTCAGGTCTACTATCACTGGCATCCTGACCTACGGCGTCCAGATCGGATATAGGGGCAAGATGCAGTTTTATCACTCCTCCAACCATCACATACACGAACCCGAAATGATCTCGGCCAAACTAGCAGAGGACCTCAACCTCGGTCGCATTAGATTGGCCTGTACGCCCTCCTTCGTTTCGCCGCTGGGGTTAGTCCCTAAGCACGATGGAGGATGGCGCCGCATCCATGACCTATCCTGGCCCCCTGGACAAGGCCTTAACTAGGGCATACCGGACTCCTGGTCAGCTATCGAATACATAACAATCGATGATATCTACGAGCAGGTCACACAAGCTGGCCCAGGTTGCATAATCATCAAGAGGGATATCAAGGACGCCTTCCGAATAGTCCCTGTTGCTGAGGATAACCAGCATCTCCTTGCCTTCCAGTGGAACGATTCTACTTATGTCGAATGCTGCCTCCCCTTTGGCCTCGCTACGGCCCCATTTCTCTTCAATCTCTTCGCCGAGGCTCTCCATTGGATACTCCAATGCCTCCTTCCTATATTCTATATCAATCATTACCTAGACGACTTCATCGCAATTATTCGGTCCTCCTCACTGTCCGACCCTATGGGTCCCTTTAATGAGGTTTACAACGGGGTCACCGACTACCTGCGTATCCCCCGCAATACCAAAAAGGACCAGCAAGGGACATGTGTGACAGTCTTAGGTATCCAGATCGACTCTATTGCAATGGAAGCTCGCCTGCCACCAGACAAGTTGTGCCGCGCCACATTGGACGCCGCAGCTGCCCTGAGCGCAGCGAGTCTCTCCCTCAAGCAAACAGAGCGTCTCACAGGCTCATTAGCCTTCTGTTCAAGAGTTGTCCGGCTTGGGAGGACAAGGCTACAGTCTCTATACACCTTCCAAGCCGCCTTCCCACATGGGAGGAGCGCGCGCCGCCGTATCTCCCACGAGGTACGTGATGATTTGGAATGGTGGAGGGACTCCTTGTCTCTTTTCAACGGCGTACTCTTAATTGACCCCTGCCGCCGCTCTATCACACATCTCTACACAGATGCCTCCAACACAGGCCAGGGACTCTTCTTCTTCTCATCCAAGTCTATATCAGACTGCTGGCTGGCCCATTGTCACCAGCTTCATCCAAGCAATGCTGCCTCACTGGCCCTTGCTCAAAACGCATACGCGCACCAAGACGCACACGCGCACCAAGTCGCACACGCGCACCAAGTCGCACACGCGCACCAAGTCGCACACGCGCACCAAGTCGCACACGCGCACCAAGTCGCACACGCGCACATCAATACCACCGAAGTAGACGCCATTCTACAAGGCTTCCTACTCTTCAGCCACCATTGGCTTCATCATACTCTAGTTATCCACACGGATAGCTCCACAGCCTACACAGGACTGAGTAAAGGCTTCCTGCATGGTCCGCCTAACGTACCTCTGAAAAGCCTCCTTATCCTAGCGGCGGCGAGAGATATCCAAATCGTGCCACATTGGCTCCCTTCCGGGGAAAACACATTAGCAGATGCCCTCTCCCGTAATAACTGTCAAGAGGTTGCTAACATTTGTCCCCACTGGCAGGACCTCTCGGTATTGAACCGCCCGCGTGGTTCTCTTCGCGAGCTCCTCAGCTCAATGCAGGCCACCTAAAACTGCTCTGGAGCGGCCTCAGCGCTAACACACGTTCCGTCTACCACTCTGTTCAACGCAATTACGAAAAGCACTGTGCGCTACAAAATCTCTCGGCTTGGCCAGCCTCAACACAGTCGTTAACCTCCTGGCTAACTTCACGACTCCTTGGGAATTCAAACCAAAAGGCCGTCAAGCCCGATACTGCACTCGCCGACCTAGCCGCCCTCCGGGCTTACCATATTGACAACTTCCTTGAGGATAAACTCTTCGATAACAAGCACTTTCGACGCCTTATAGACGGCGCAAGAAGACTCAACCCAATCACCAAAGTTCGCGTCAGAAAACCAATTTCGCGTGACACCATTACGAAACTCTCCGCAGGCCTAGCCACACTCCCGTCACAGTCCTTGGAGATGACCGCAAACCTTCTAGACGACTTAAACTTCGCAACCGCTTGCCGGGTAGCATTTGCTGGGTTCCTTCGCCTCGGAGAATTTACCTACAAAACAGAAGATCTCAGCACACGTCCTACCTTCTTAGCCACAAAGCTAACGCGCTCCGACGTCAGATTCTCGTCCTCGTTAGACCACGTACAACTCACACTCAAGCGGAGCAAAACGGACCGACGCCACGAAGGAGCACAGATCATCCTTGCGAAAACAGGAGACGGAGCTTGTCCAGTTGATGCGCTTCAGAGGCTACTACTTCTCGACCCCAAAGCGCCCGACGCCCCGTTATTCTCCTTTCACAGAAGACCATTCAATCGCAACAACTTCCTCTCTACCCTATCTACTAAGCTGAAAGCACTTGGGATACACGCGAACGGCTACTCAGGCCACAGCTTTCGGAAAGGTGCGGCTCAACATGCGCATGATAGTGGGATCCTCGACGATCAGATCCAATTACTCGGGAGATGGACCTCGGATGCATTCAGGGTGTATTTTACGACGAACACGTCTGTCTTGTACAAGCTCAATCACCAGTTCCAAACAGGCTCGCCGGCTCCACTGTCTCTACTGCTTCCTCCACCGTCCCCTCCACCATCCTAGTTTGGCCCGGATCATTTGGGCTCTATCTGACGCTACGGTCTAAGACCGCAGCGACAGGTGACCCGTCACGGCCAAACTATATATACGTTCTTGATCTCTCTTGACTGGGTGAGGTCACCAATAAATTTACATAAAATACACCATTTTCCACCAGCCAATGAGGAATTACGATACTATAACAATGAACATATTTATCATTACCTTCGAATGCAATACATATATCCAGGAATTAGTAATAGAAAAGTTAAGATTAGATAACCATGTTTCTAATGAGGGTTATAAGTTAAAGACAGTTTAGAGGTACTGTAAAGCTGAGTTCCATGGGAGGTTTGTTCTTCGCCTTGATGTGATGTCCTGAATTGGGAAACGATGCAGTTTTTTGAGGGAGCTATTTTTATATTGGTATGCCAAATATTCTATCAGACTAGCGTCTTGGTAATGGGGCCTAAAATTAAAAAAGCAATGCTTGGGGCGGAAGCTGATTTCGCTGCCGACTGTACCTCAGACCAAACAAGTTGTACACAAAGGTTCAGCCCTGGTCTTAAAGTATGTCTTGTCGGTCTTTACTATTACTGTCACGAGGTGTTACCGTTACCTAAGAATACCAGGCGAGATGCACGAATTTCT